TATGTCCGGCTCCGCGTTCACTTGAACGCAAAATGGCATGTACTAGCGCCCAAGAAGTCGCCAGAGTCGCTGTGGCGCTAACCCAATTGGCTTTTTCCAGCTGCAGGACAAAAAAGCGTGCGACTACCGCACGAGAGTAGGGCATCGTTTGTTGTCTCATGCGATACAGTGCGCATGCACGTTACGTCACGGTCGGATAGTGAGCTTCGCAGCACATCTGTGTGCCGCGTGTCACGGTTCACTTTACTAACGACATACGTCGCACCAGGCTTCATTGCGGAGACATTCGCCGAACGCGCATGCGAAGGCATATCCTCAAGCGATTAGCAGGCAGGAGTGCTTGGTGAGAGGAAACCCCAACGCTACGTGCCCCATCCTCCCAGACGACGTAAGACTCGCTAATCTCCCTATGAGATACACTTCCGTTGCGGCTGGTACTGATGTATTAGGCTGTACCGGAAGGACACATAAAGGTGCGTCCATATTCGGAGCACCCTGGCGTCACGCTGCTAATGTAGCAGTACACATGCAGGTGTTGTGACTTCGCATATTGTGTCCACAATTACAAATGGTGCTACAGATAGTGCAGGTGACCGTGTCAAGACATCTCTCTCATGTGGATATAAAAGTACGGTCAGCCCCGGTACTCCTTGAGCAGGACACCCCACAATCACACAGCTAACATGGACGCAAGCTCTGAGCAACTCAACATTCGCTTCCCCAAGCCGACTATCGTGTCATCCTCCATTGCACCCATCCCCACCATCGACCCTGGTAGGACCCCCGAGACTACTCAGGCCGTCCTCGACTGTCTCAAGGACAACCATCAGCGATTCCACATATTCTTCAACGACTGGGGCTTTCACAAGTAATGTCTCCATCTACATTCTGTTTCCGCCCTCACTAACAGCAGCCTTGAAATATAGTCATGCGTCACATCACCTTCTGGCAATCTACGCCATGGGCGCGAGTCCCGAAGTGATACGAGGAGCATACGACACCCATATCGCATACCAGCGGCCTTCCAAGGACCGAGTCTGTGCGGCGACAATCGACGGGAAGAATTGGAAGGACCACCTTGGAGACGAACTGTTTGTTTTCGATATCATTAATATTACCATGTAGCACTGACTGATGTCTCCATTGATGCAGGTATTATCAAGCTTATGTCGCATTCTTCTCCCAGCTCCTCCTGTCGCAGGATACCAAAGGTTTCCCAGCCATTCTCGAAGACTACGTCTTCTCGACAGACGCGAACTTTGTTGCGGGCAAGAATGGAGCCAAGCCGCAAATGCTTGGCCGATTCTATTCCAGCCTATTCCACACCCTGATCCACATTGCCTACGGAGCCGAGTTCGGTCTACCTGGCCTGTCTGCTGAAGGTATGCAGTATGATTCTCTCATTTCGAAGTCTTGTAGGCTGACCAGATTGTATCGCAGGTCTGGCGAAGTGTGCAGTACAGTCACTCGACATCGAAGATGTATTCGCCCCGGAATTCTTCGATGTAGGGTCCGTCGACGCCCTTGCCTCCCGGCTCAGCTCGAAGACACCACCGGCGGACGTACACGCCCTTACCATCTTGTCGCGCATAGAGAAGGACACGGACTTTGCGCCAGATAACTTTACGTTCCCTGATCGCCGCAATCTGGGCTCTGTGTACGGCGTCATTCTCAGTCAAGCCGACGGCAAGCTCTCCAAGTACTGTGACGAGTGGTCCAAGACTGTCATACCGGACCGAGATGTTCTGAAGAGGAAGTTCGAGGAGCTTGTGTGGATGAACACCGTGGTCTATGGCGTCGGGGGATGGGAGGGTAGGGCACTAGGCGAGGACTCGAAGGGCAAATTCAACGCCGACATCCTGCTGTAAGCCGTGCTCCGTGTCATTTCGGACTTTGATACAGTTGCTGACCGCATATATCCACAGCATGCATAGTGTCACGTCTGCATTGATGATCGCGTCTCTCCTCAACACCCTCGGCCTCGATTCTGCCGTCCTTCTCCTCCGTGCATACTTTACCTTCTCCATCCTTGGGTACACGGCACGCGGCCGTCCCGCACTCCCTGTCAAGGAATTCTACGCCAACACGACGCCCTACCCGTCGCCTCCCGACGCCCCGCTCACCGCGGCCAAGGACACCATTGAGCCCTCCACGGCGCCGAATCCGTGGCTGCCGATTGTCCAGACGACGCTCGTACATCCGGATGAGCACCTGTGCAAGATGCAGCGTGCGCTCATGCACTTTGCCGGGTGCTACGGCGGCACGGATCCCGGAGTGTTTGCGCACTCAGGTCTGCAGGGTGCAGAGGCGCTCGATGGAACGCTCTTCGCCAGGGTGGCGGTTCTCACTGCGGACAGACTTCGCTGGATGCGCGAGGGAGAGGAGAAGCAGGGATGGGATCACAGTGGATTCGCTGAAGGATATAAGCTCTAAGACGGTCACTCGGGACCAGCGATTTGCGTGATTCAAAGCTATGCAGTACGAATGTCACAGTGATTGGATTATATGCCATGTACACTTGCTCCGACGAGATTACTAGGGGAGGAAATTTAGGCTTCGACGACAATGCCCTGACGCTGAAATGATCTTGAGTCAAGTATACCTATAGGAAGCCCTGTACGTGGCAGTGATGCCTCGGCAGGTAAGTACTACAGTAGATAGTAGTGTCTCTTACACAGGAGGCTTGATGGCTCCTGCTTTGGGCCACTTATCAAAGTGTCCCGCCACCTTCCAGACAGCAAAATAATCGGTGCCGTTGCCCTGTCCACGCCGGCGGGATAAGAGATACAGTCTGGGAGAAAAAGGTGCACCATAACTCACGTAGCAATTATAGGGCCAGCCCTTGTTGAACGGCACAATATCGTCCAGCCTCTTGACATGCTCGTCGTTGAGGTGCAGAGAAAGCGCCTCCAGGTTCTGGTGGAGGTGCCCGACCTTGCGGCCACCGATGATCGGGAAGACGTACGAGGCTTTCTGCATAACCCATGCGATGGCGACAGAGGCGATGCTTTGTGCCGATCTCCCATGCGGCCTTCTCGAGCTCGGCACAGACCCTACGGTGCTCGAGCGTGCGTTTCCAGTCGCCCGTTAGCTTGCGACCCTCCTCGCCAGACTCGATGCAGCGCTGCTCTTCGGCATCCGTCCGGAGCTTACCACCTCCGAGGACATTCCACGGAGCGATAGCCAGGCCTAAGGGTAACGGCCGTTGATTACCAGAAAGATGCGCGCACCTTCGCTGATACACATGGGCAAGATATCCCTCTCGAGATCTCTGTCAATGATACTCCACATGCCTTGGTAAATCGCAAATGGCGTCTTGTCATTGCACCGCGCGTACGAGTTCGCCCTCACAAACGGACCCAGGCGGGGGTAGAGCACCTTGCCTTGCTGCACGAGCGCGTGCAGGCCATCCATGACTTCCTCGACCGAGCACACATAGTCCCGCCGGTGAATGTACAGGATGTCGACGTAGTCTGTGCGCAGCTTTCGGAGCGAGTCCTCGATCGAGTTGCGCATCGACTTAGCGCTTTTCAACCCGAACGAAGCTGCCGCGCGGTGGCCGCGGCACGCGTGACGCTGCGTGTCAATTTTTTCTCATTTTCAGCTAAGTTCCTTCCAACCACCACCACTTGCCGCGGAGCTCACGATGGCCTCCCAAAACAACCTGGCCTCAACGACGCACGACGCCATGCAGTTCTCCGTCCTGAGGGTTGTCTAGCGGCGCTCCGGCGTTCCCCGATGGGTCGACCGACCCGGCGGGTGCATGAACAGCGCCGACAACGCGTCCCAGCTCTCACCGCGGCTTCAATAGCCTTCGACAGCTGCCCGGCCTCATCGACACGGCCTCCTGCGCGGCCCAGCCTGCTGAGGGAAGGCCACTGGGCGCTCCGTACCCCGATGGGTCGACCGACCCGACGGATGCACAAGCTACGCCGACGACCTGTCCCTATTCCCACTGCGGCCTCGTCAGCCTCCACCAGCTGCCCAGTTTTAACAGCGAGTTCTTCTCTACGGCTCATCGTGCTGAGGGCATGCCAGGTTGACCGATCCGACAGGTGCGTACCGTTCGCTCCGCGCCAACTCCACTGCTGACGCTTTCGCAACGATCTAGTATCGCCGCCGCATCCAGGGCATATTCATGTGTGACATCCGAGTATGACCACGCTCTGCGTATAGCGCCAACAGGCTGCCAAAGGCGTCGTCCAGCCTATCTTCCATTCCGAACAACTCTTCTCGAACGTGTCCGATAATATTCATATCCGTCTCCCTCGCGCACGCGCTGCTGAAGCGCACGAGCATCTCGAAGCCTGACGTACTGCGAGGGCTTCCTCGATACTATCGCGGCAACGACGACCAACCGCCTGTTGAAGGCAGTCGGCATCTTCCGCTCGGACACGTCTCCGAATGGCTTCCCCGAGCTTCTCGCGCGCGAGGCATCCCACCATCCGAAGCCGCAGATGCTCTCGCTACTCCGTAAGCCGTGGGGCCTCGACTAGTCACCTGGAATGGCGCACAACCGTACGAGATATACGAAGCGGCACCGCGGCTTCCATGCCGAAATCGGACCATGACCATCTATCCACCATCCTGAACCACCACCACCTGTCCTCGCCTGCTCGTCTCGGCACGAGGACGGTTACAAGAACCATATATTCTGGCATGGCTAGTAAGTCTCTTTTTTCTTCTTAAAGATACTTCTGGCATATATAGACTCGAGGCCAAGACCGCAACAGTACTGACGAGTGGTGTAGCGGCAGAGGCTGAGAATTGTATCATCTCATGGCGCACCCAGCCTTTCTTCCTCCCCATTTTTATCGCCTATCGTCTCGTATAGATCTTGAAATCAAGCCAAAAGGAGCGGAATACGACTACTGATCCATATCAGAGTGGCTCGGCGAGCCATCAGTGCCGCGCCGTGTGAGGGTTGCGTCCCAAGTACGTCCGATCATTTGATCAGTACTGACATCTTCACGGCGACGGTGCCGAAAACTCTCGATGGGACTTCTGGGATGGTGTCGATGCATCCCTTGATGCAATCGTAAGCTTGCTGCAGGAGATAACAAGAAGTTTGCAAGGTGAGTAGGGTCATCCTTGTTGTAGTCGGCTGTGTTAATAACCTTGTTCGCACATGTACAGGCTGTTCCACAATATTCTTCATAACGATGCTGAGTTGCACAGCAGCGACAGTGACGACGAGGCGCGGGACGTTCCCGAGCACAGCGAGGGGTGACAGCAGGGAGTTGGCAACGTCATGATGAGCGTTACTGCTTAGTTTCGAACTGGGTTTCCGCATGTATTTATCACTGTCGGCTTGCAATAATTTACAGCTATTTCACTTTTTCTACGTCTGTACAGGCATGATTAACGGGTGGTGTTATGATGCATCGGGCTGAAAATGCCTCGAGCGCCGACCAGATTATCAGACGGCGGTGAGCTGGGCTCGGATAGATTCCATGTGCTCTTTCAGGCGGCTTCCAGACGCACCGTTTCGTAGAACCCACATCAACTGGAGCCAGTGCGGCTCCATGTGCAAATTTGCATGGATCCCCGATGGCTGGTGGCTTGTGCCCACTGTCCAGGCGTCAGCGTCCGGCCCTGGGCCAGTCGCGGATCCCGCGTGGGAGCCACGCGTCAGAAAGTTGGCAGCGCAGCGACCCCCAGACATCACAGCAGTCCATAGCCACGCAGAATATATTCCTTTTTCACAGGCTTTCTGCACACTCGCGGACACACATACGTATGGGGCAGGGCATATATTATGACAGCTATCGATACAGTAGCATAACAGTGCTATCACTCACTCTACACTATTCAGGCGGCACTGCATCAGGAACCAGTGCCTCCTCAGGCTTGAGTGAACAGCAAGTCCCTCTGACTCCTGCCGACTGGTGTGTTTGAGGTTATAATCCTTGTGTTGGCAAATGAACAACGAGCAAAGCTCCGCGTGCGCCCCGTATGCGCAGTAGATGTCGAGGTGCGCCTCGGGGCAGTACATGCAGCTGAGGCTCTGCAGAGCACTAAAGTCTCAGATGAGCACCCGCTCCAAAACCGGTCGCGAGGGGTCGCTGATGGACGTGCCCGAGGCAGAGGGCTTGGGCAAGAGACCGAGCAGCACAACAGCGTCAGCCTGCTATACGGCCGCACCAGCGCTCCCGCCTCGCGTAGTAATATGTACCTCGCTGCGCCAGTGCATGAGCAGCCTCCACAGGCGGACGACCGGCTCGCGCTGGGCTTGGGGCGCCTCGCGGTCGCGCACGATAACGTCGCACTCGAACTCGCACCCCGGGTCCGCGCGCTCCTGCGCGCAGTCGTTCGTCAGCCCCTCGGCGCCGCCGCGGCTCGCTCGTCACTCGTTCTCGTCCTCACGTGCGCCCGCGCCCAAGCCGTAGCGTTTCTCGGATTTGATTTTGTCCCACCACTCGATATCGGACCCGATGGCGTCGGGCAGCCCCAATGATAACGTGTTCAGCTTCGCGTGCAAGCGCGACGGCCGCTCTGTGTCAGACGCACCCTCGCCCGGCGCTGTCGGTGTATGCCTGTGGTGAGCGAAAGGCAAGCAGAGAGATGGGGGAGTGCGAGAGGTGAACACTGATGTTGAAAGAGCGAGCGATGCGGGAGCGGGCGGCGGCATACGCAGCACGGCAGGGTCTGCCGTGCTGCGCACGCTGCTGATCGGATGTAGGGCATCCCTCCAGCGCATCAGGATTTTAGGAGCTCCATTGAAGAGCCGGTAAGAGTCTAAAATATTGGATCTTAGCAAGTTGGACATGTTTGGCACACACTTACAACGATTGCACACTGGATTGAGTGTGAGAGATTTAAGTTGAGGCCTTGGTACTTCGGTTCGACAGTTAATAGATAAGCAGCTACCTCGCGGCTATCTCGCAGCTATCTCGCAGCGATGAGTCAGGCGGCCAGATTTCGGGTAACCCAGGTTGGACTGCGGCGGCGCTTCCAAGTCGGAGTTACTGTGCCCGGCGTCTACAGACGGCTTCCAGTACTCCAGCACGACAGTTCGGGTTGATGCATTGATGCTTGGGACTTCAAGGGGTCATTCGAAGCTTGAGATATAGCGTAGCGGCGCACGGTGCTGGCGTGCTGTGTGTGCTGTTCGTCCGGCGTGGTGTGAAAAACAAAGGAAATAGCCTCCGAGCGCCACAAAGCCTTTGCAAAAGCGCTTGTGACTCTCGGAGCGTTCAACCCAACCAGCAGCGCACACGGCCAAAACTGCTCACATGTGTCGTATGAGAGCAATTGATACGGCCAAAACCTTGCTTGTTACGAATCTTGCCTTGCTCATGTCCGGAGGCTATGTCCGGCCCCACGTTCGCCTGAACGCAAAACGTCATGTGCTAGCGCCCAAGAGTCGCCAG